TTACCAATATGATACAACAATTTTTTAATTATTCATAACTAGATATAACAACTATACAACTACAAGAACTACACAATCAACTTACCAACTACCCATGTCTTTCACCAAACAATCTTATTAGAAATTACACAAATATATATACAACAATACAAGGCTTTGTTCCATTCTCACTAATTAATAATATATGAGAATACACAATTAGCAACCAGTTAGCAACTGATATTACAATAAAATTTCTAATTAAATTATAACAAAATATCTACAACCAAAATTGGAAACCTTACTGCATCAAACTATCTGAATGAAAGCAACAAAACAATATTCCTAACCAACTATCACATAACTAACAAACAAATCATACAAACATATTTAGATCTTTAACACAAGTCAGAACAGTATATACTTATAGTTGCACTTGTGGTCTTCCTGACCAACAACATACTGAAGACTTTTACAATTCCTATACTTGCCTACTACAAGGAAAAGCTAATAAAAAACTAACTAAATAGATATCTGAATGAATAAACTACAGTACTTCAACTAATCATATTTTACATTATCAAATCTAGGTAAGTTTTAACCACTCTAGTAGGTTTAGGTTGCAGATAAATTAGATAAATTAGATAATAATTTCATCTATAGTTTGAGTCTCATTCATGTAAAAAATTTGTAAATTGGCTTCAACCTGTGTCAACTCATGTAGTTGCCTATAACAAATTATTAATAAAAATAAAGGCAAAACCTCACCTTAATACCAAAAAAAAAAAAAAAAAAATTTAATATAATGTAAGGTGTATACACATATATACAGTATATATGTAAAGTTTCTTGTTTTGATATCAATTCAAATACATGTAACTATAATTAACTCGATACTAACTTCAATAAGCTTTTAATATTCTAGACATACTATTTATTTGTAACACAAAAAATTACTTATATTTATCTAACTGATTTTGCAAAAAAAAAAAAAAAATCGAACGATGGAAATGCTCTCTAAAGAAGAAATTGAGTTTGATATTGAACAAATAGTAATTATATAACATCTAATCCAATATGTATAAAAAAGCTTTAATATATAGATTAGTATGTTAGAAAGTTTATATTAATATAAATTAACTTATTTAATTTAGTCAAATTCTAATGAAGATGTTATAAATATCGAAAACAATAATGAAAATGTTAATGTTGAATACAATGAAAAAATTGAAGCCATTGCTTATTTTACAACATACTTAGCTGTTAAAGCCAACAATATATATTATTCTATAATTTTGGTAGAATATCCTTCAACTAGCCTACAAAATGACAAAGGGCCCTCTGATTTCACTACTATATATAATGTGCTTGATCTTGAAGTTTACAATTATGATAGTAATCAAGTACAAAACACAGCTCAAATTCAAGAAGATTTAAAAAAAAAAGCACATGCTGTATTTCATAATGCAAGTATTAAGTTAAATAAAAAATATATATACTGATATATCAATATATATTATTAATGATATGTATTAATTTTTATATATATATGTGTTTAGATCCAGTATAGTTTAGGTACTGGCTGTCAAATGAAAGTTAAATGTTTTTTTTTTGGTAACATTTATATAACTAAAGACCAAAAGAAATGTCAAGGTATTACAATTTGTTCTCATATCGATGATCAATTTAGATCGACAAAGTACTGTAATGTTGATTTTGATTCATATATTTTTAAAAATATTAAAAATGGATCATTAAATAAATCAACTTACACAAATACACTTGTGTATGTATAATTTTTTATAATTCGAATGTAAATATATAGGCTAAGTGCTACAAAAAAGAGAGAAAATTAACAAAAAAAAAGATCTCTGAAAAATCAATTTTTATATTATAAATTTTATAATAGATAATAAAAAATTTTAAAGAGCTATACTAAAAATTTTATTAATATAATTGCTTTTGTGTCTTAATGAAAAATGATCCTGATCTTAATTTATATGAAAAGATTAATTTTCTTTTTTGTAGCACCTAGCTCTATTGTAAATTATTTTAACTATATTAATATTAATTTATCTTAGATTTTATCTTGCAATTACTAAACAATCATGCCCAAGGATCTTGTCTGACAGTTCATTATATGCTGGTTTATCAGTTTTGAGAAAAATCAAACAGAGTACTTTAACACAATGTAGAAATAACCAAAATCAGCAAAATAGCTGTATGATACAAATCTTACAGTATAAAGATAGTTATTTTATTGGATGTAGCCTATGGTCGAATGGTGACCATTGGCATCAATTTATTCCAATACCTGAGTCATGTGATGTTAATCTTATTCGATGTCTTCTGGATGGAAAATCACTTAATCAGTTATTAATTGAAGATCGATGTTATATGGTTTTACCTAATACAATGCAAAAAAAAATTTGCTGTAGATATATTAGTATATTTAGATAAAAAAAAAAATTAATACTTATTTTTAATAGCATTTTCTTATCTCGATAAGAATAATCGGCCATTTAAAGCTCAATTAGAAAATATATCTTGTGAAGTTAAATTTTATTGATTTACACCTGTTAATTTGTTAGAATGTTTTTTTGTAATATTAGTTTGTATAGAAGAACATAATCACCCGCCACCTCCACCACATCATATATCAGAAGCTATTCAAACTTGTCTTAAAGCTTTAATTAAAGAAGCCTCAACTAATTTGAAACATGTTATATCATGAAAATTAATATCAGGTATATATTATTTTAGTTAGAAATTATGCTTAAGAATTATTACACAAAACATAAATCAGAAAATTTAATAGTAACTGATGGGTACAAACTCTAATTTTAAATACAGGTTTATTTTTATATAAGATTTTTTTACTATACATATTACTAAAATTATATGTATAATTTTTTTTTAATTTAGAAAATTTATTTAAAAGCTATTTTGGAAGTGATCTATTAACAGAAATTCATGCTTCTTTAAACAATTTGGATTATTTTCACTATCTGGTTGCCTGAATTCATAATTTAATCCATCTACATAAGCAAGATATATTAGGCCTAGTTCATGTGTTTTCTTCTAATTTAGATAATATTCGAGATTATGTTCAAAAAATTGGTATGTAGGAAAGTATATTATATTATCATTGGCACTGCATACAATATCCAAGCTTTTGAACTTTATTTTCAAACTGAATAGTATCTATGAGGAACTGGATACTATATATATTAAAAGATATATCCTATGAAAAGTAATAAACTAATATACAATTTTGAAGTGATCTATTCCATTAATAAATTTTTTTAAAAATTCACTATATTGGAGAATTATATATAAACTTGCTTTAAGCTTAACTTCATTATATTGAGATTTTAATTAGTATTCACTATATTGAGAGTTTACTAATAAGTTGTAATTATATTCAAGAATTAAGCCAAATAAACAGTAAATAATACCTAGGCCTTAATAAAAGAGGTATTATTTTTTGGGATACTAAATGCAGTAGCAAATAGTAAATATATAATATAGTATATGATGTATAATATACACTAATATTTTATATAATATGTATTTATACGTATAGCATTTTTTGAAGATGAACATATTCTTGTACTATGTATAAACAAAGACATGGCAGCAAAACTTTTACATGCACAATATTTTCAAGTCGATTTAATATTTAAACATGTTCATAGAAAGATTAATGAGTTTGAACTTAATGAATTTGACATAAATCATAATATTATTTAATTAAATTTTTTTATATTAAAGATATTATTAATTAAGACGTTATATGGGCATTAAAAAAAAATTTTTTTTTTTAATTTTTTTTTGCAATATTACTTTTGCAATATTATTAATTTTTTTTTTTTTTTTTTTTTTTTTTTTTTTTTTTTAGCTCATATATATGCATGAATTTTTACAAATATCGCAACTGCAAATGCTTATCATCATATGTTTAAAGCTATAATCAAAACTGTAAATGAACTCTGTAAAAAAGAAGTTCAAATTAAATATATTTATAATAATGGTTGGAGTGTCATTCTTGGCAACTTAGATGCTGCACAAGCTAAAGGTCTTGAACTTGCACTTGCAGATTTGGATCTAACAAAAACCTAGGATATTTATTTGACTTATATTTTTAAGTCATGTCGTGTATATTATAAAAGGAAAGTATTTAAAAAAATTTTATTAAATCTACACAAAATTACTTTTTGATTTTATAATGTTAAAATTTTTAAACATAAGAGAAGGTTAAATATTATAGTGCAAAGGATATTGTAATATATTTACTATAAATAGCTAGATAAAAGATCCTCCACAATATATGCTATATTAGGTGCAGATTGGGAAATCTACAATAACCAAATGCAGTTGTTTTCAAAGATCTAGACAGTCTATTAGAAATGAAAACTATGTGTGCTTTTAAATCTTCTTTTTAATATACAAATTTACAATTATTATTATATCCAGGTCTTTTATCCGGCCATTTACAGTATATTTTTCAGCAATAATATATCTCAAAGTGACCAGAATTGATTAATTGTTAGTTCACTTTGTTTTACTAACCATAGGATACAAGTGAAAGTTGATATTGCAATGTGATTGTTTTTTTTTTTATTATATATTTCTTACTGGGTAATATTCAAAGAAAGAATATAATAATATATATAAATATACTGTATGCTATGATGCCTGACTCTTTCTTATTTGGCTGTTTAGTTTCTTTTTTTTTTAACTATTTCTTAATTCGATTCAACAAAATTATTAAAAAAAAATTAATTTTATATAATCTGACCTAATTATTTATTTTTAATTTATTTAGAAATATTTTCAAATCCAAACTATCTAATCATTTAAAAAATTTAATATATAAAATATTAGCAGCTGATAAAGAGCATATTAATGCTATATTTGATGAATTTTTTATATCAGATAAAGCTGGAGCATCAGGTATAATTTGTTATTATTAAAAATTTAAATTTATATATATTTAATTTTTAAAAAATTACAGATTGGGGAAACTACTATTCAAAACCATGGTGATTGGCTTTCTTAAATCATAATCATTCACATATTCTTGAAGAAAACTAGTGTAATGCAAGAGAAACTACTAATGTTGCTGAATCTGCTTATATGGATGCTAATAGAGAAAGAATTTAAATAAGTTTATTGCTTGCAGTTAAGAAGTTTGTATCTAGTGTTTGCTTATTTTTTTTTTTTTATAGTAATTAAATAAACTAAAAATTTATATAATTTGAAATGCATAGAGGAAAACAATTAGATGAGCATTGATTGCAATATGCAAATGCTAAGATAAATATAATATTTCAAAGACTGGTCATTCATCAGATTCAGTAGTTAAAGCCACTCAATCTATTAAACGATTAAGTAAGACAGTTAATTATACTATGAATTCTCAAAATTTTGAATACTTGTACATTATTTTGGATACATTTATAGATGTTATTTTGGAATAACAGATTAATTTTTCTAATTGATATAATAAGCTAAAGTTCTACATATGATGATAATATGTATATTTATTTATTGTATTAGTCAATCATATAATAAACATTGCCTGCATGTGACAACTGTAAAGATTTTTTCAAAGTTGTCATGTGCAAGTATTTTATTATGATGATTAAAAACAGAATTAGAAGTCACTCTCATTATAGTAAAATAATCTGTTCTATAGTAAAAATTTATTATATTGAGAGGTTATTAATAAATTCACTATATTGAGAGAATTTTTATCTAGACTGGTTTTGAATTTATCTTAACTATAACGAGAGTGACTTGTATTATGAAAGTACGCATTTTTATTATTTTTGAAATGCATATAGTCATTATCATATTCAAAACCAACTATTCTATCTTAAAAGGTTTTCCAAATAATGTCCATACTCATTATTTTAAGAATTTACAATAATAATTTGTATGCTGCATTTGCTAATACATATGTATATATTTTTTTAATAATAATTAGAGAACAAACAATCACATATTTCAAAAGGTCAAAAGTGTAAAACACATGGGTCTGTGTTACTAAATAAAAAAGTATCACCAACTTCTAAAACTACTATAACAAGCAATAAAAAATTAGATGAACTTGATATTAAAATTGCTAAACAAGAAAAATTAAGAAAGCTTGAGTTAATAGAATATGAATTTCAATATAAAAAAGAAATTTTGAATATTGATAAACAAACAAAATTAGCTGCTCTTCATGCTCAAGAATTAGCTAATATTAAAAAAGAAAAAGAATTAAGAATTAAATAATTTAGTCAATTTTAAACAATCGCTGTGAATATTTTTAGTATACTAGTGATATCTTATTAAATATTTAGGTTTGTTTGCTTATTTTTTTTTCAATTTCAAAGTTATTTTATTTTAGTCTTATTGATATTAAGGATATTAGTTCAAGGTGAATAAGTCATAAATTAGATAAGAGAAATTGATCATTAAAGTTTATAAGTCATGCACTTAAAGGTTCAAGCAAAAATAATATGTTATTAATTATTTTCTTTTATTGTTTTTTTGCTTTTAAATATTAAGTTTATTAGAAATTCTATATATGTATGTATTACAAAATTCTGATGATCAGATTAATTGTTATATTGCATAATAGTATATATACATATTGTATATCAAAAAAGAATTTTACTAAGCTTAAAATCCATCTAAGTGAATTCTAAATATACTTAACCATTCAGGTAGTCAGAGAATTTTAAATCAATTTAAATTTGATTCTGAACCCTCTTTAGTTAATAATTCTTAAAATTATAAATGACTAATTATAACTAAAATTGGATTTTTGAGTTAGACATTAATTAATTGATAATGTATGCTTATGCTAAAGAATCAGAGATTTCATAAAGGAAAGATACTTCTAAAATATAAAAACTAGTAGTGCTTCAAAACAAGTACTCAAATTATTCATGAGCTAGATTTTACAATAATGTTGTATATAAGTGTTTTTGCCTTTTATTATGATGATTTTTTTTTTTTATGCATTTATAACTTGTGATAGAATCTAATACTAGAACTAAGGGGTGTGGTGACCTAGTGAAGTGGTCAGGTTGTCAACCCCCCAAGTGGTAGGTTGGGTGTTCAAATCCCATCG